CGTGGGGGCGTCTGAAGAGACGCGGAGACTCACGCACCAGACGTTCGGAGGTAATTAATAATATACACTAATACTGAAACAGTTCAGGCATTTTAGAATGACTAAAACAATATTTAAGACATGTTACAGTGTGCTCAGCCTGCTGTTTGTCCATTTACACACATTTTCATTATCATATGATCATGACCTTTTTTAATGTACATACTGTAATTTGTTCAGTAAAAGTGTTTCCATCGTAGTTTATGTGCACATGTTCTGTCGAATAAAAGTTTATCCTACTCAGTTATGCGCGTTTTTATGCATATTTTAAAAAGTTATGTGCATCATGACGTTTCCATCAATCGTTTTTATGCACGTATCCAAAATAAGCATTAAAATAGGTGTGTGGAAACGTAAGGCTAAGACGAGAAATACCGCTTCATCTTTAACAAAGGGGAGGAGACCGACAGAAACTCTGAGTTTAGAGAATAAAACCTGCTTCTGACCAGGTTAGATTCACAGAGTAAGTTACCACAGTAACTGACTCTGAGTTAAAGTTAACTCTCTTTCAGAAACAGGCTTGACTTACCCTGCTTTCTCGAGTTTAACAAACCTGCCGTTTTGAAACGGAAAACCCAGAGTTTCTCTCATTTCAGGGTTAAAATACTCTGAGTTTTCAGTTAACCTCCTTTCTGAAACAGGCCCCAGGTCAGTTCAAGCAAAGATAACACTGAAAATATGTACTGAATGCTGAATATCTTCTTACAGTAGCAGTTATATATACTTGGGAAAATTGTAAAATAGTAAAAAAAAAATTATATATATATTTCCCAGGGATAAGTTGCGGCTGGAAGGGCATCCACTGCGTAAAGAACGTGCTGGATAAGTTGGCAGTTCATTCCGCTGTGGCAACCCCGGATTAATAAAGGGACTAAGCCGACAAGAAAATGTATGAATATATATATATATGCTGTGTGTTTTATATATATATTCATGCATTTTATATAAATATAAAACGTATGCAATTTGCACTCCAAAATGAAAGTAAAGAAACAGTCACGGGGTGATCTGTTCTCCCCAAGGGGTTTAAAGAGAACATTTATTAATATGGACTTTTAGATACAAACGTGTACCAGGACACTTGAATAGGCGACTATAATAAAGAAAATCTGCTCTAAATGTAAAACTAAATAAACTGCTAAATACTCTTGACACGTGAAAGCTCACAACAAAGGTGGAGAGGTATTGCGCATCATATTTAACGAACCGGATACTGGGAATTTTATGTAATTTTGCTCACATTAATTCATTCATGCATGCATTTTCTTTTCAGCTTAGTCCCTTTATTAATCTGGGGTCTCCACAGTGGAATGAACCACCAACTATTCCAGCATATGTTTTACACAGTGGATGGCCTTCCAGCTGCAACCCAGTACTGGGAAACACCCATGCACTACGGCCAGTGTAGTTGATCAGTTCCCCTATAGCGCATGTGTTTGGACTGTGGGGGAAACCGGAGCACCCGGAGGAAACCCACACCAACACGGGGAGAACATGCAAACTCCACACAGAAACACCAACTGACCCAGCCGAGACTCAAACCAGAGACCTTCTTGCTGTGAGGCAAACGTGCTAACCACTGCGCCACCGCGTCACCTCTCATGTGAATAATTGAATATTAATCAGATGATGTCATCACGCTGCTGTGCCGTCAGCCAATCGCTGCATTGCTGATCATGATTTGGAGGATGGATAGATCTGTCCTTCACAACACACACAGATCTCAGATCAGCTAAACACACATTTAATCTGACTCACAGACTTGTTTGAACAACCAGATTAGCTCAGATAAGTTATCAAGATGAACAGATCCGGGATCAGCTGAATCCTCTTAGATCATTTAAGCGAGGTACCAAGAATGAACCCCTGATATGCAGATGTGCAGACTCTGATTGGCTGTAGTCATCCTCCTCTCTCATCTCGACTCCGCCCATTAGTGTTTATGTTCAGCTCTGGGTTAATTCACTCCAGCCAATAGCAGAACAGCAACTACTGTGGAGGCGGGGCTAAAGATAGCATGGCCTCATCTGATTGGTCTTATTTTAATAAACAAGCAACACATAAATGGAATATAATTGATCTCGCGTGTCTGCGATGCATATGCTACATATACAGACTATAAAGATAATTCAATGATATATTGTGCTGCACTAATGAACATGAATGTGTTTAAGAGAGGAAAGGCCAGAATGTGCATTAAGTAGAGGAGCAGACTCAGAGAATCACAGCATGTTTGGGTGTAAATTCTACCACCAGCTCATCTTACTATAAAACACAGAAACGCTTGAGGCATGACACTGACAGGAAGTATGTCACATGACCACAGAGCACACATGGGTCACATGACCACCACTGGGTTTTTCCACTGCATTCACTCACACACACACACCCAGACACACACACACACACACACACTGTTTTGTGGGATATGCACTTGCACTTCTCTGTTGCACTCAGTACACACACTATACAGGGTAGTACGGTGCGATAGCATGCAAACACACACACACTCACACACTTACTCTGTGCTTTACATGTACACGAGTGTCTGGTGTGTGTTTTATTATTCAGTTATCTGACAGCGCTGTACATTCAAGCTCATCAGCTCAGAGTGTCCAGCATACCACCTTTACTTTTGGCTAAAATAAATGCATTATGGCGGCACGGTGGCCTCACAGTAAGAAGGTCTCTGATTTGAGTCTCAGCTGGGTCAGTGTGTGTTTGTGTGGAGTTTGCATGTTCTCCTCGTGTTGGTGTGGGTTTCCTCCGGGTGCTCTGGTTTCCCCCACAGTCCAAACACATGCGCTATAGGGGAACTGATCAACTACACTGGCCGAAGTGTGTGAGTGTGTGTGTTAATGAGTGTGTATGGGTGTTTCTCAGTACTGGGTTGCAGCTGGAAGGGCATCCGCTGCAAAAAACATATGCTGTAAAAGTTGTCAGTTCATTCCACTGTGGTGACCCCTGATGAATAAAGAGACTAAGCTGAAGGAGAGTGACTGCATCATTCAGATGTCTATACTGCACTTTATCTGTCTGGATAGTGTGTAAGCATATTATCACCAATAGCTAAGCTCACACACACACACACACACACACACACACACACCACTTAATCAACTATTACAACTGTGTTTAAATCATGTGTACTGTGAAAATCGAGCCAAATTATCCAAATGACCCGAGCCGCATATAGGATGAGGAGCGTTCAGAAGCACATGGACACACACTGAAGACGCTACTCCACACACAGAACACTGAACCAGGGAGCCAATCACAGAGCAGAGTGTTCAAGCAGGCGGAAGTGGTGCTGTGGAGTACATTTACACCTGTGTGCTGCTGCTGTGAATCTGCTGTATCCCATCGGTCAGCACTGCAGTGATTCAGCTGATCTCACACACACACACACACACACACACACACACACACACACCAGCTGGACGCGGTCAGCGTAACAGCAGCACAACCTGTGCAGCTCTCGCATCCACTGCTGAGTCACGGCTAAACTGCAGACACGTCACCATGACAACCAGACAGCGACCCACAACACACACACACACACACATTCCACAGATACACCAGAGCTACTGACTACACTGAACTCAGGAGGAGGACAGACAGGTGGAGAGATGACGAGACAGGAGAGATCCAGAGGACACACAGATGGACAGACAGACAGAGATTCAGGCAGAGACAGACAGTCAGACAGACAGACGGCTCTCTGAAGATGAGCATCTATATTTAGAGGCACTAGACTGACCCGACACTGACCACAACCAGAACAGCCTGAAGAAGAAGAACAGAGGAACTCATTCAATGACAGAACTCTGGATGAAACCACTGCAGCAACATGCAGCTGCAGGGACAAACACACACACACACACACACACACACCACACACACCACACACACGTCTATTTTACTATCTTAGTGAGGACATTAGATTAGACTTCCGTTGTTTTTCTCTCAGGTTAATGATGTCTACTGATTAACCATAACTCTACCCCTAACCCAACCCTCACAGACACACCAGCACACACTGATGAACATCTGCTGGACGATTCAGAAGAACTTTTCATATCTGAGGACACACACACACACACACACACATGCACACACACACACGCACGCACACACACACGTTTCCAGATCTTGACTGGCGTGACTGAGCCAGTGAAATGTGTCTCAGCATGAATGAGATCTTTTCATTAGAGGAAGTGAGAGCTGAATGTGCTGCTGATGTTAAAAATGTCACCATCATCATCATCATCATCATCATCATCATCATCATCATCGTCATGCTCCTGCAACAGGCTTGAGTGATGAGCTTCATTCTTCAAACCCGTCTGCAGGTCAGAAGACTCCCCCTCACACACAGCCTACAGAACCTGTTCACCATCAGCACAGCCGTGACGTCACACTAACTCTCCTATATTTCAGCAAGCGGTTACTCCTCATGTTCATCTGTACTTAAATATTACAACTGTAGTAAAATACACATGTGTGATGCAGTGAAGGGTCAGTTCACACAGACAGCGCCTTTCACCTGTTCCAAACCTTCATCACTTTCTTCTGCTAAACACTGAAGATATTTGGAGAAATGTTGGAAACCTGAAACCATCGACCGCTATAGTGCTTGTTTTCCCTACTGTGGAAGTCAGGGACTACAGCATTCTTCAAAACATCTTCTTTTGTGTTCAACAGAAGAAAAATCTCAGATTACACTGTATTGTGTGAACTGTCACTTTAAATAAAAGCAAATATCACACACACACACACACACACACACACACAATAACCGAACTCCAGAGCTGATGGAGCAGAGCAGATTAATGCTGATTTACCTGTCTTCATCCGCACCAGCAGAGGCAGCAAACGCCGCAGCATCAGCACCAGCGCCGCCGTCCTGTCCGAGCGCAGCCGCTACATCCGGTGCAGTGTGTCCAGCGAGGCCTGCCATCCCTCCAGCCGCCAGCCGAGGCAGTGCCAGCAGCGTGTGGTGCTGCAGGAGCAGGCGCTGGGCGTCCTCCAGCTGCGCCGCCGTCACATACGAAGAGGGCAGCGCCGCTCGGGGCATCATGTGGAGCAGCGGCTGCAGGTTTGAAACCACAGAAGAAGATGATGATGACGAGAGCTGGGCTGAAGCCGTCTGCGGCTCCGCCGTGATCCCCATCTGGGGCCGTGGGGACACCGCAGGGAGACCTGGCATCCCGATGGGCAGCGGAGCAGCTCTGGGCGACACCGCAGTCTGAGCTGGAGGAATCTGCAGAGCGCCGGCCATCGCTGCGTATTCCCCTGGAGGAACAGCGCTCTGGGTGTTTGCAGGATAGCTGCTCTGTGCCTCGCTGTAGGGTCTCGGCGGAGCGGCCGAACTCTCCAACAGGACCGTCTGAGGGCTGGCGGTGGGCTGCAGTGTGCCCGTGCTGTACGCCTGCGGGACGTCCCCGCCGCCGCTCAGAGTGCTGCCAGAGGAGCTGCCGCTGGTGGTCTCGTGTTCCGACTGAATGATGCTCTCCACCGCCCTGTGAGCGGCTGATGTTGGGTCTCCAGGCGGAGCGTCTTTTTCATAATACTCCGTGCAGGTCCAGCGACCCTTCCGGAAGGGCTCTGAGTTAGAGTCCAGCTTCACCACCCTGAAGCGGGAGGCGGTGGTGGCTGCGGTTTGGGTGGATGGAGGATTTACAGGGACTGTGGATGAGTCTGATGGAGCTGGGGACTCTACCGGAGCTGTTTGGACAGAGCGTCCAGTTTGCGCCGGAGCCTGCAGGACAGCAGGGACCGTTGAGGACAGTGCCGTGGGTCGCCCCTGAACAGTCTTGTGGTGGTGGTGGTGATGGTGGACCCCGTTGACCAGGTACCCTGTGTGCATCACTGGCTCATTAGGCGAGGTGACCCCGGGGGTTTCGCCTCCGTGCAGACTGTTGAGCGTCTCCTCGGACGAGCTGCGCTCGGGGACGCCGGTGTCCGTGGCTCTGGAGACGGACACGTCCAGGATGTCGGAGGAGGACAGGTCCTCAGTGTGTGACTCGTCCAGGTCGTCGTAGCTCTCCGTGTCGTCAGCGATGCTGTTGTTGGCGCTGGCGGACACCTGAGCGGGCAGCACGCTGGTGATCTGGAAGCCGCTCTTCTTCTTGACTTGCGTCCCAGCGCTCTGGATGCTGAGGCTGTGCGGCGGGTGGTGTGGCCCCGGGGATGAGGAGCCGGCCGGGGTCTGGTGGTCCTCTGGGGGTCCGGTGGCTCCACTGCCCCTACGGCCCGCGAACGCTGACGGGTGGGACATCCTCCTGGCTGGTTCGCCACTGGAGTCAGCGTGATGCATCTGCTCTGATGAACACTAGTGAGGGTGTATATGTAGTGAAGTGAGCGCTGGAGCTGAGGAACACACTACAGCCCGCGCAGTGACGTCGACAGGAAAGCGCTTATAGTCCCCATCTGAAGACTCGAGCAGTGTCTCTCTGTGTTTACGGTGAATAATGCAGGCTAACGCCAGCTAGCTCCTCGTTAACGTTAGCACAGTATACACGTCAGCTGCTTAGCTGACAGCTAACTAACATGAACTCAGTGCTGACAGAACCACAGCCTCAGTGTGTGTGTGTGTGTGTGTGTGTGTGTGTGTGTGTGTGTGTGTGTGTGTGTGTGAGTGAGTCAGTTACAGCTCAAAGCCGGCTCATAAACGGACATAAACAGACGGAGATCTTCACCTCAGCGCCGCAGCCGCTCTCCGGGATCCATCATTACAGCTATCCGCGGCTCACACACACTCACTGACCGGCTTCAGGGCTCTCTCTGCTCGCAGGCCGGGCTCCAGACGCTCAAATGGCTTCATTCGCAGGTTTGCTGTCTCATCCTGTCCGTCTCATCGCTGCTGAGCGCTATTAGCACGCTAACCGACGAGCTAGCAGCTGTGGTGACGCAGGCAGGGGGCGGGACCGCGCGCAGGACACGCCCATCACGAGTCGCTGATCGGGGATCAGAGATGATGCGGGTTTCCCTGAAGGAGCCGCAGCGGAGGAACTGATCTGAGAACAGCAGCAGCAGCACTGACTGAAGAGCGACGCACTACGCAGGACCATTCATCAGTTCCGAAGATTTACTGTGATTATTCATATTCATAAAACACACTTTATTTAAAGATTTTCCATTTTAATGGACAAACCCAAACACACACCGACCAGCACACATCAACAATACAGGAGAGAGAACAGCAGATGTACAAATAAATGAGGAATAAACAGCTGTAATGCGATGATACACACAGTGCTCAGCAGAAACACATCCTCACCCCATTCACTAAGTGAATATTGCTCGTGTATTTTGGTGTAGTTGAGTTATTAAACGGAAATAATTATTAAAATAACATTTTAGGCCCCAAGCATCTTTAGATAATTAAAGCATTGCCCTTTAAAAACAACATTTTATTGAATATTTCCCCCTAGCATTTACATTTGGGCTGCTCATTATTGGACTGTTTCGATCAGTTATTTTGCTAGATTAGCTCCAGACTTGTCTTCAGTAATAATCTGACTCATCTAATGTATATATGCACAAATACAGTACTGTACAGCATCCTGTTAATATATAGAACATATATTAAAACAATAGACTTGTGAGGGGCAAACTCAGATATGCTGAGCACAGTTTATATGTGCACACACACACACACACACACACACACACACACACACACACACACACACACACACACACACACACACAAATATTTCCATGTTACATATATAAACACATTTACAAGAATATTATTATTATTATTTAATGTTATGAGGACCAGTAACACATTTGTTCTAGTGTATTATTTTCCACCATGTTGCAGTCTAATTTAACATGTTTTTATGATTTTATAATATATTGTGTAAGAACAATTTAAAATCTCTAAAACTGGAGCTTTTTTCAAGTTTACAGAAATCTTGTATATATATATGTATATATATCATCACCTTTTTATTATAAGGTTCTGTTTTCCCTAAACGTGCTCTACATGTAAATGATCAAAGCTCTCTTACAATTGCAAATTGGAGTAAAAACAGGGTAAAAGCAGATAGAACAGTTTCATTCTGAAAGGTCATTTAGAATTAGAAGGTTCTGTCTGGCAGATCATTCACTGAAGCATTACTTTTCAAGAAATACGATCAAGAAATACATAAGTTGGTTTTGTAATATGTTGATGGTTGAGAAAGTTTAATTTTTGCTTTCTATAACATGCATTTCATGTTTTAGAATATTTTTTCTTGTTTAAATTAAGTATACAAGAATGTGCCAAATATTTTTTACCAGTGCAGATGTTAATTTTATCTAGTTGATATGTTAATATTTATGAAATGTTGTGCTTTATATGAATTATTAAGTTATATTTATTGAATTATATGCCCCATTAATTAAATTAAGTATTATTTCCTTCAAGTTTTAATATTAAATTTAAAGACTTCCAAAGAAACAGACGATGACCAAATGAGTTTAATAAACACTGAAGTGTTTTACTGACTCTATGTAAATAAATAAACATATTCCACATTTAATACGTACATATTTAAATATTCATTTCTTTTTTAACAATGTCAAATTTAACATTTCATCTCAATGTTGGTGACGCGATGGCGCAGTGGGTAGCACGATCAACTCACAGCAAAAAGGTCCCTGGTTCGAGTCTCGGCTGAGACAGTTGGTGTTTCTGTGTGGAGTTTGCATGTTCTCCTCATGTTTGCATGGGTTTCCTCCAGGTGCTCCGGTTTTGGGTGAGCTAAAATTGACCATAGTGTGTGTGATTGAGTGTGTATGGGTGTTTCCCAGTGATGGGTTGCAGCTGGCAGGGCATCCGCTGCGTAAAACATATGCTAGAATAGTTGTCAGTTCATTCCACTGTGGCAACCCTGGATTAATAAAGGGATCAAGCTGAAAAGAAAAATGAATGAATCTCAACATCTAGAAATGCTTCCACATCATCCGGTTTACACACAGATCAGTTGTGTGTGGTGTGGCACTAATTAGCCGACTCGGAGTTTGTGTGATTTTGTCTTTCTGGTGTTTCCCGCTGTCAATGAAGCAATCCAGCGAAATGACAAAGAAAGCTGATCCTGATTGGTCCTTGCGCGTGCATTAAAAATGCTGATTGGCTCACAGAAAGAACCTTATAGAGCACAGGTGTCAAATCCAGCTCCTGGAGGGCCACAGCTCTGCAGTTTAGCTTTAACTCTAATTAAACACACCTGATCAAACTAACCGAGTCCTACAGGTAAGTGTGTTGAAGTAGGGTTGGAACTAAACTGTGCAGAGCTGCGGCCCTCCAGGAACTGGATTTGACCCCTGTGTTATAGAGCCAAGCTAGAGTTCAACTTTGTAGATAAAATCTTTTTTGTTTTTTTAAATAAAAAGTCTTAAAATGTAAACAACTTTAAAATAAAATACATCATATAAATGTAAATAAAGTTGTCATTTAATAGGAATATGAGAATAAGATGGAACGTAAGTAAACAAAGCCTTTCTCATGTATCACACTAATTGTACAAAAAAAAAAAAATATAATAATAATACTACTAATACTTCCCTTCTTAGACTTTACAGACCTGAAACTTGCTTATAGCACTTATTCATTGTTGCTCTTGGTTGTGTAAATTGCTTCCTTGTCCTCATTTGTAAGTCGCTTTGGATAAAAGCATTTGCTAAATGACTAAATGTAAATGTAAATGTATGTGAAAAAAAACCCTTTTATTATGATCCAGGAAAGCTCTTTTAATCTCTGAGAAATGTGAATATAATTAAACACAACACATATAAATGAGGAAGGCTGTCTGCATTCATGCATTATTATAAAGCTCATTCCTCAATGAACACGTCTGATGAGAAATACAATGATAAGATTTGTTCATGTGTATAAAACAGAGCTGCTCATAGATACTTCACATCCATTAAATGATATTAAACAAATGTATTAATGGGATTTACTAATGTGTAGTAATGGATTTCTTTGCTCATGTTATCTACTGTAGTTAAGTAGCGTTAGCTAATTAAAGAGCTATATGGTAAAGCTTTAACACTCTGAGGATGCAGAAAGACAATACAGTCCTGATTTATTGACGCCGCAGGCACTTCTGAGAGACGGCCAGCAGGAGGAGCCACACTGAAGAGGAAGAGCAGAGATCACGTGTTCCTCATGCAAATCAGCCTGCAGATCCTTATTAATGAAGCTTCGACTGTTAAACTCGTTCATCACAGGCGCTTCTTCTCAAGCCAAACATCAGATCAGGATATAAAGACAGCCGTCACACACACTGCAGTCGATCTGCAGACACACACTGATCTCTGACTGATTCCAGATCAGTGTGTGTGTGGTCATGACTCTGAGCATCTGTGCTGTGATTGGCTGATGGGTTCCTCACACACACTGATTTCATTAACATCTTTTCCAGCCAGACCAAAGAATCTGTTCCGGATGATGAAGCGAACACACTGCAGGACCACATTCCTCTCGTGCCGGATATCAGGAGCCAGCAACTGCATGCGCACACACACACACACACACACACACACACACACACACACACACACACACACATATATGTATATAAATAGTCCACTCTGAGCACATTCAGTCACACACTTCAGTTACTAAAGATTAAACTGCTGTGATGTCATTCAGATCTATATTAGCGTGTGTGTGAGAGAGAATGTGCACGTCTCTGCCTATACACTCACCGGCCACTTTATTAGGTACACCTCACTAGTACCGGGTTGGACCACTTTTGCTATCAGATCTGCCTTAATCCTTGGTGTTATAGATTCAACAAGCTGCTGGAAATATTCCTCAGAGATTTTGCTCCATATTGTCATGATAGCATCACACAGTTGCTGCAGATTTGTCGGCTGCACATCCATGATGCCAATCTCCCGTTCCACCACATCCCAAAGCTGCTCTATTGGATTGAGCTCTGGTGACTGTGGAGGCCGTTTGAGTACAGTGAACTCATCGTCATGTTCAGCAGTCTGAGATGATTGAGCTTTATGACATGCTGCGTTATCCTGCTGGAAGTAGCCATCAGAAGATGGAGACACTGTGCTCATAAAGGGATGGACATGGTCAGCAGCAATACTCAGGTAGGCTGTGGCGTTGATGCTCAATTGGTACTAATGGACCCAAAGAAAATCTCCCCCACACCATTACACCACCACCACCAGCCTGAACCGCTGATACAAGGCAGGATGATCCATGCTTTCATGTTGTTAAGGCCAAATTGTGAGCCGAGCATCAACCATGCCACGTTCAAAGTCTCTTAAATCTCCTTTCTTCCCCATTCTGATGCTCACTTTGAACTGCAGCAGATCCTCTTGATCATGTCTACATGCTGAAATGCAGTGAGCTGCTGACATGTGATTGGCTGATTAGACATTTGTGTTGAGCAGTTGGACAGGTGTACCTAATAAAGTGGCCAGTGAGTGGATACAAGAATGTGTATGTTGGTTTGAGTGTGTGAGTGTGTGTGTGTGTGTGTGTACTCACCATCTCCAGCAGTGTCGGTGGTTGTCTCTGCGGTTCAGCCGGTTTATTGTGAGCTCCTCGACCTCCTCTGCCTCCTCTTCTACCTCGTCCTCTATGTCGCTGTGCATGATGGGACTGCGGTGCGGTGTGCTTTGTTGCTGTGGGTGATGTGTGTGTGTGCTGTGTTGCTGTGGGTGCTGTGTGTGTGCGCTGTGGTGCTGTGTGTGTGTGCTGCGGTGTGGTCAGGATGCTCTGGTTCTCCTGTAAGACCTGAGCAGCTTTCAGCAGCGGAGCATCTGTGAATCAAACACACACTTCAGTGATCGGCTCAGTGAATCAAACACACAGCTGCTTCAGTGATCGGCTCAGTGAATTGATCATGAACCTCCTGCAGTGTGTCTCCGCTCACCGTCCTCCTCCTCCTCGCTGCTCTGCTCTCCATAGCTGGACATCAGGGATCCCAGCGCGGCCGTCACACTCCTGGGGGCGACAGTGATCTTCTGAACACACTCGTCCTTATCAGAGTCTGCAGGAGGAGGAAGAAGGTTGAGAGCTGAGAGAATCAAACTCCAGCAGAGCTCAGAGATGTGGAGATGCTCTTGGACTCTCGAGTATCTGATTACTAGTTAAGTTAAAGCAGCAGCAGATAACTGAATTCACCAATGTTCTCCAGGAGCCCGACACTGCTGTGAAGCGACTTCACTCATTCGTCTTGTCAGTGCTCCTACAGGAGAGGTTTTGGTCAGATTTGTTGATGTTTAGTCGATATTATAAGTGACTATGAGGGTGTCACGGTGGCTCAGTGGTTAGTACACCAAGAAGGTCTCTGGTTCTAGTCCCGTGTTGGTGTGGGTTTCCTCCGAGTGCTCCGCATTCCCCCCCCAGTCCAAACACATGCGCTATAGGGGAACTGATGAATGTGACAGTCGTAAGCTGCGTCCCAATGGCACACTATGCACTCATGCACTCATGCACTTATGCACTTACACACTCAGCAGGATAGTATATGTATGTAGTGTCGTCCCAAATGGCACACTAATGTTATTTTACTGAGCGGATGTTCAAACCGTTTCCCTGATGACGTTTGACGGTCGCCAAATCAGTGAAATAAACGACCGAATTATCAGATAACACCTGCCGTGAGTATAACCGCATTCACCATCAGGAGGCGCTATAATCACTCTCATAGGAGAATTTTGCTTTCACCATCCAAAATAAATAAAGTTATCCAACATGTGCGCCCGATAGCTCCGCCCCTTCCGCTGCGTGAGCAAACCTGCGGTGGTTGAGTGTGTGAAGTGTCCATCATTACACACTTCATTATACCAGCTGAATGAGTGCAGCATCCGGGTCATTAAAGTGCACTTATTATTATTATTAGAGTTTTCAGTGTAAACACACTACTTACACTATTAATACTACAAAATGGCGTAGAATAGTGCAGAAGTGAGTGATTTGGGACGCAGTGTTTGTGTTGTTTAACCGGTGTCCACTAGATGGAGGTGTTCTGTGTTCTCTCGGAGTGTTGAACAGGTGCGGTGTTTTGCTGTGATTATGTTTGGACCAGGTGTGGAGTGTTACCTGTGAAGTGTGTTTGGATAAAGATCAAGGCTGCGTCTGAAACCGCCTACTACTCAGTAGGTGCTGCATTTGAATGTAAACGTACTGCTCGGCCGTTAGTAAAGTGCGCTCTATACAGTATGAATGTGAAAAGTATGAATGGATTTCGGGCGTACTACATCCACCATTTTTTCATTGTCATGTGACCTACCTGCGTCAGTTGCGTCGCTTCACTTCATTCATGAAATCTTTTGCAGGGCATTATGGGATAGCGCAGTATGCATGGAATGCGCACTTCAGAATCTAGCTGGAAGTAGTAAGTCATCCAGGTAGTTCTTGCATACTGATTTTCCAATTCTATGTATTCGGACACACTACTCTGCTCGCATACTGATTTCAGTGTACTATATAGTATGGAAGTATGCGGTTTCGGTTTCTTTATATTTGTATCATTTCACTTAATTTTTGGTTAAATATATTTAAGTTTAAGTATTAGGTTAAGTATTTATTTTCTGCTGTGGATCTTTATTTGGTTTTGTTGCTACGTTTTTGAGTCAGGAGGTTGTAAATTGGCTGTAGTGTGTATGGGTGTTTCCCAGTACTGGGTTGCATCTGGAAGGGCATCTGCTGTGTAAAACATATGCTGGAATAGTTGGTGGTTCATTCTGCGGCGGTGACCCCTGATGAATAAAGGGACTCAGCTGAGGGACAGTGAATGCATGAAGAGACTATGATGAGATATTTTATTCGGGTTGTTTGACAATTCTACAGAAAACCTGGGAAAGGTGTGTGTGTGTGTGTGTGTGTGTGTGTGTGTGTGTATATATATAGTAAATGTTTTCTGTTAAGCACGTTTCATATTCATAAATAATAGTTTAGTGGCTCTTTCTATCATTAATTCAGAATTGATCTTGACTGATATTAGGAAAGCATCCAGAACTCTAATATTATAAGCAGGTATTAAAACCGTCTCATTAGGGTGGAACTTTAGTGCCCGTTTGTCATACGTGTTACCCTGGTGGTGTTGGTTTTGAAGTATATTTCTGTCTCATAATTGAATTGATTGTCCTGTCTGTGTGTTTATGACTGTATTTTTGTGATGTTGTACTGACCGGCTTCGCTGTCGGCCAGAGCTGCGAGCGGGTCTCTGTCCTCATGCTGGCGTTTCCCCAGACTGGATCCTCGGCCCCGCTGTGGACCGCCGCGGCCCCTGAAGCGCCTGCACACACCACACACACACACTGCACATTACTGCTGCTGTCCACCGATCGGCTGTTCCTGTTCATCACACACGCCTCCTCCTGTACTTCACTGTGTTTGCAGTGTACTACTCATGCAGCTTTCTGCTTTTTACACTCATACAAAGAGTCGATGAGAGTTAATACGGCATTATACAAATAAAACATGACTATAATCAGCATTATTACTATCAGACAAACAAGTGAAGCAGAGCTGCAACTGAAATGAATCATATGAGGGAATGAATCAGAGACGGGGACTTGAGCACTACTGGTGGATTTACACACATATTTATTACCCCATGATGGACTAAAGCAGCACACACACACACACACGCACACACACACACACACACACACAGAAACACGCACACAGACACACGCACACAGACGTGCACACGCACACACACACGCACACACACGCACACAGACACACACAGACAAAGACACACGCACACAGACACACGCACACACACAGACACGCGCACACACAGACACACGCACACACAGACACACGCACACACACAGACACACGCACGCACACACACAGACACACACGCACACACACACGCACACACACACACACACACACACGCACACAGACACACGCACACAGACACACGCACACACACAGGCACACGCAGACACACGCACAGACACAAACACACACGCACACACGCACGCACACACACACACGTAAATAAATATAAACTCAAACTAAATGAATGTGTTTTAACGTGAGCTGAGAAACAGACCCGAACTGTGGCGTCTCCAGCACGTCTCCACGCTGCTCCTTCACCTCCATCAGCTTCTGCTTCTTCTCCACGTTTCTCAGCGTCGGGTAATTTCTGCACACCAGAGAACACACACTTCACTACAGCGCGCTACACCTTTCACAAACATCTAACTCGAGCTGCACTTTCCACATCGTGTGCGCACACTACACACTTACATCCCATCATATCAGACACACTGCATCATGCTATATTCCAAAGAAACCTAATGATGGCATGTTTTCCCCAGCCCATTAACTCAACCCATACCCCACCAACAGGACGCTTCAGTTTACATCCTGTTTTTGCCATTAAATCCTAATCTAATCATGAGCAGCTATACATCATTGCCTTCTGAAGACACAGATTTCCAAACCATTTCTGTCATGCAGGAAGAGCGGCAGATTAACCGGTTTACTGTCACCCTTCAACCTGTGGGACCGCTTGTGTGCATTCATAAACCCATAATACTGTAGTCTAAAGATGCAGCATTCATGACAAACTGTGTATCATTTGAAAGCCTAAAATGTCTAGTTTCCATATCTGCTGACGGATTTTTGATAGATATCAGCGAGCAACAGTTCTGTATTTATTTGCAACACAAACACTCAATCCTGAAGCATTACTCTGCTACAGCAATCCACATGTACACTTTCATTTAGCTGATTATTAGAGATTAAAATCAAGTTAAACACCACCAAACTGCCCACACTACTGTAGAAATCATGTCAGAGGTATGAAACCGCTCATATTCGTTCAGTTTGCACTTTAGTGACCATTAATAGGAACTGGAGGTCATTTGTCCTGGTGGTGATGTGTGGTACTGCAGCCAAACTAAACTACTCAAAGCTCATTTTCTGATACAAACTTCAAATTTAGAACATCATTTGTGCAGATAATTATCTCTGATTTTCTGTCAATTTTAGGCAAAAACACGTTTAATGAAATTCATACTTTACATATTATAATACCATATACATTTATTGTTTCATCATTATTATACACAAAGGCACATCACTTTTTATTTTATTTCACTTTCTGATCTTTTTTCACTTCAGCATGTGTGTGTGTGTGTGTGTGTGTGTGTGTGAGTGTGTGAGTGTGTGTGTGTGAGTGTGTGTGTGTGTGTGTCAGACCTGCGGCGCTCCTCTCTCCACCTCCTGATGTCCTCTCCGTCTCCAGTTTGATCCTCTTGGCTCCTGCAGTGTGATTCTGATGAAGACAGCAGCGGGTCAGTGTTTATTACACTCAGCAGTGCTCACACACAGCATCTGCAGCCACAGCCATCATCAGCACACACACTTCAGTCCACGCGTATTTCTTAAACAACAGCAGCTCGCATCTTCAACTTTTGGCTCTACAACTTCACACTTTTTGAGGACCAAAAAAAGAAACAAAATCTCTGAAGAATATTTCCAGCAGCTTGTTGAGTCTCTGCCATGAAGGATTAAGGCAGTTCTGATGGCAAAAGGAGTCCAACCTGATACTAGTAAGGTGTACCTAATAAAGTGGCCGGTGAGTGTGTATGTATGCATGTGTGTGTGTGTGTATAGTGAATGTTTTCTGTTAACCAAGTTTCATATTCATGATGTGTTTTGGAGGAAACGACTGATTGTTTTTCTAGATGAAACTCTTATTCCTGATCTGGGGTCATTGAGAGATCTTTAGAGCTGCTCTGAATCTGTCCGATCAGAAGACTCACGTTCCTCCAGTGGATCTTCACCAGCTTCTCATGAGCAGAAAACTGACAGTCTGGAACTGAACACTGCGGAGAGGAGGAGATCATGATGAGCGTCAGCTTCTCACACACACACTGATGATGATGATGATGATGAGGAGGAGGATGTTCACCTTGACGTG